TGGCTACCTTTACATCTGCTATTGTGTGGCCAGGGAGGTTGAAGTGTTCTCCTCCAATTTTATATATTGCCATTCCTGATATCTGACTTGTGTCCATTTATCCTCTTGCGTAGTGACTGTCCAGTTTGGCCAATGTACATAGCAGAGGGGCATTGCTGGCACATGATGGCATATATAACATTGGTGGACGTGCAGGTGAATGAGCCGGTGATGTTGTAGCTGATCTGGTTAGGTCCTGTGATGGTGTTGTTGGTGTAGAGCCTCTGTTGCTTTTTACAGGAGTGTTATTGCAGACACTACAGATAATGTAGATATAGTCACCATTTACATAGGGACTACTGTGCTTATTGGATTATTCTTTTTGTATCTTTATTTATTTATTTATTTTTAATTGGAAGCTGCCACATAATTCCCACCAGGACCTTTCAGCAGATTTTATATCCAGTTTGCTGTGACTTACATGGGACCACTGAAATCTCTGGGAGGCCTGGGAGTTGGAGGACCCTCCCCAAGACCCATTCAAGAAGTAGAGATTAAGCACAGATTACAATGATCTGCATTTTGGTTGGCAGATGTCCAGAACCTAACAGAACTCTGCTCCAGTAACTGGGCTTTTCTCAGACTGATCCGAGTGGGACCGAGACGGGCAGGAGTTTCGGTGAGGGCAGGACTCAGCCCCGGCTGCTCTGACACCTCATCACTGTGTTATGGATGAGGGGTGAGACTTGAATTCCTGTACTGCATGGTCTCATTGGTGTGCTAACTTCAGAAGACAACACAACAAACGGAAGGAAGGCAAAGCATGTGGCTAGACAAGCACCCATGTAGCTGGGTCTAGTGAATGATAATATGAGTGGTGGTAAAAGTGCTTCTCAACCTTTGCATCTGAAGGGAATCCATTCCACTTCATTCCTCCTTCACCAAACAGGTGCTGATGGGTAAGGCAGCACTAAGCACTACTGTCCAGCCCAGCTGCTGGAGACCCTCTTCTCCCTCCTTTCCCTGGAGATCCTTATCTCCACAGTCTGATGCTGCCACCTTAGAAGTGCCAGAGTTCAACACAATAACCGTACAGCAGAAAAGTGGACTGAAAAAATGCCCAGAAACTAGCCTATTGTCCCTGGCAATATCAAACCCTTCCTCACCGAGCCTTGCTGTGCTTGCGTGGGTGTCTGTTCAAAAGTAGGAAGCTTAGCAGATTTTCCTTTTAGGATTGCAGAATTAATTTGGTAATACCAGTTTGATAAATAGCCTTTAACATACCCAAGAAAACTACTCACCTTATCTGGATGAACCACAAGTACTGCCTTCCTATAATACTTCTTTACTTGTTCAGGGGTAACTAGGTCTGCCATGCCAACTGGCTTCCACTTGTTCTCCCCTTCCCAGAGCACAGTGTGAAGAGTGGATATTAATGCTCTTATATTTCTCTCTTTTCCTTCAATCCAATCTAGAATCTGAAACAAAATTAGAAAAATTCAAATGGACTGCAGTTGCCTTAAATGGTGCTTCCAATTCACTTGAAGATGTTTTCAATGATGGGAGAGGAAAGTAAGACAATTGGACTTTGGGCTTCAAAAGTTTTGAGGGCATTTTGCAAATACGATCTTAATCGTGCATCCAAATTCCACAGAGTGGACACCGTGCTTAGCCTTGGAACCCAACAGTGATATATCTAGTCTGCTAGCCGAGGACCAGCATGTTTATACGTAATTATTTATTTGGCCCTTTCTTAGATAGGAATCATTCCAAGAGAACTGAATTATTAAGAAGTTAAGTGTAAAAACTGTATAATAGATGACAAGAAGTGATCTGAACAAAGTAACCATGGCAGAATATTCATTTTAGTTGCACTAATTAATCCCATGGTAACACAGGTTGTCCATTCCAGTGCTAGAAATCTTGTTTTACTTGTAAATTTCAGGTAAGGGTCTTAAGCTCTTTTGAGACTTGTACACTCATATGGCTTGTTTGAGTAAATTGAAGTTTTCTGTACTAGATTGCCCCTTGAACTACAATTGGCTAACAGTGCCCTTTTCTTAGTTGATTTTATAGAATGATCTTTGCATCAATCAATGTAGAATCCTTATGGCAGTAAGGGGAGTCTCTCTAAACTGTAATATCACAGTATAGAATATCTCCCATCTCCCCTACTAACACCAGTGATGGCAGGTAAAAGGCTCTATTTTTTATTTATAGTATTTTACCTAAAAAAAGCATTCAACCCAACCTATGGACACGAGTTGGAATATTCCATCAATAAGCTGATTTCCCCACTTCCTCCCGGAGATTATTTCTATTAATATTGTTCAGAACTACATACTTTATCCTCACAATGTTTTACAAAACTAAATAGTAAATGTTACCATTTAACCTTATCTGCAAGTAACGTACCAGGAAGAAATACAAAATCGGATCAGAATACACATGGGGGTGATGCCACCCTGGAGACTGGAAAGAGTAATTTTAATATGAGTTGAATAGTCCATTTTCAGTGGATTTGATAGAGGGGCAGAGAGCCACTGGGAGGAGAATGAATGACCTGCCCTAAGAAAGTGATTCTCAAGTAGTTTTTGTTCTCCACAAGCTGTAATTTTGTATTATCAGACACAGCCATCACAGCACCATAGTCCTGAACCCTTTCGCTGAAAGGGCACTAGTAAAACTGCACTTGATTGGATAAAAGGTAATGAAACAAAGCTCTAACTGCCAAAGAGTGGACCTGACAGCAATGAAAACCTTTTGACCCAAGCTCTCCCAGTTTGGCACAGACCAGAAATGCACCCTCCCAGCTTCTCCACAGTCAAAAAGTGAGTTGTGCTTGTCTAGCCAAGTCTGTACCAAGACATGCTCTTTAATGAAATGGGAAACCCAGGCCCTTGTACTCCCTATGGGAGAAAGTCCTGCATTAGATGTAAAACTTCAGTTCACACACATCAGGATTTTACTTGTTTGTATCCTGGTTTGTTTTCAGCTGAGTTCGTAATTATGTTCTTTAGAACTGTCCAGCTCTCTCACAATAGTTGTAAGTAACAGAATTAGGTTTATATTTGAATCAAAACAATGGTTTTTATTATTAAACATCAAACCTTTAATTTTAAGGGGTCCATGTCTTTAGACATTTCTTGCTTTCTCATCTCGGCAATTGTCTTGGTTCCTTTTTTGTCAGATTTAGCTGAAAATCCTTGATTAGATAATAGATCCTCAAAATCATTTTCTGAAACTTTTGGCTTCTGTCCTGTTAAAAAGAAAAGAAAAATTAACGGAAGAAAAATGCTTACTGGTACATGATCATGACAGAGGTAACAAGTGTACCACATTATGGGTATGTCTACGCTGCACATTCACTGACAGCAGCATGTAGGGCAGACGTGGGCAAACTACGGCCCACGGGCCACATCCGGCCTGCGGGACCATCCTGCCTGGACCCTGAGCTCCCGGCCGGGGAACCTAGTCCCCGGCCCCTCACCCACAGCCACGCCGCTCCGGCTGGGCAGCGTGGGAAGCACAGCTGGCTCTGGCCGGGTGTCGCAGCTGCGAGCTCCTGCTGCTGGTAAGGGGCGGGGAGTGGGGGGTTGGGTAAGGGAGCAGGGGGGTCCTGGGGGGCCGTCAGGGAGGAGGGGGTGGCTGGATGGGGTGGATGTTCTGGGGGTGCAGTCAGGGGATGGGGAACAGGGAGGGTTGGGAGTGGGAGTCCCGGGGGGCCTGTCAGAGGGCTGGGATGTGGATAGGGGTCGAGAGGGCAATCAGGGGACAGGGAGCAGGGGGGTTGAATAAGGGGGTGGGATCCCAGGGGGGCAGTTAGGGGCAGGGGGTCCTGGGAGAGGGTGGTCAGGGGATGAGGAGCAGAGGGAGGTTGGATAGGGGGTGGGAGTCCAGGGGGGGGGCGTGCCAGGGGGCGGGGAACAGGGGGTTTGGATAGGGTGCGGGGGTCCCAGGAGGGGGCGGTCAGGGGACAAGGAGCAGGGGGGGCTGGATGGGTCAGAGGTTCTGAGGGGGTCAGTCAAGGGGCAGGGGCCAGGCTGTTTGGGGAGGCACAGCCTTCCCTACCCGGCCCTCCATATAGTTGTGCAACCCCGATGTGGCCCTTGGGCCAAAAAGTTTGCCCACCCCTGATGTAGGGCGTGTGTAGCCACATACCACAGCAAAGAGCAGGCTGTGTCCACACTGAGATGTGTAACTACACACAGCAGTGAAAGGCTCCAGCAGTAGGGAGCTACCAGAGCCTTTCCCCCCTGCAAGAGCCTTTCCCCACTGCTGGGAAAGACTCCAGCAGTGGCACATGACGCTGCTAAAAACAGCCGTGTAGACAGGGAAAGGTACTGCTATGCCAATAGAGAATTGTGTAGAACCACAGAATCGTAGGACTGGAAGGGACCTCGAGAGCTCATCTAGTCCAGTCCCCTGCATGCTTGATCTAGACCATCCCTGACAGGTGTTTGTGGAATCTCCATCACTGGAGATGTTTAATAGCAGGTTAGGCAATCTCCCTAGGCAATTTATTCTAGTGCTTAACTACCCTGACAGGAAGTTTTTCCTAATGTCCAACCTAAACCTCCCTTGCTGCAATTTAAGCCCATTGCTTCTTGTCCTATCCTCAGAGGTTAACGAAAACAATTTTTCTCCCTCCTCCTTGTAACAATCTTTTATGTACTTGAAAACTGTTATGTCCCCTCTCAGTCTTCTCTGCTTCAGACTAAAACCCAATTTTTGCAATATTTCCTCAGAGATCATGTTTTCTAGACCTTTAATCATTTTTGTTGCTCTTCTCTGGACTTTCTCCAATTTGTCCACATCTTTCCTGAAATGTGGTGCCCAGAACTGGGCACAATACTCCAGTTGAGGCCTAATCAATGCGGAGTAGAGTGGAAGAATTACTTTTTGTGTCTTGCTTACAACTCTTCTGCGAATACATCCCAGAACTATGCTCGCATTTTTTTTGCAACGGTGTTACACTGTTGACTCATACTTAGCTTCTGGTCCACTATGACCCTCAGATCCCTTTCCGTGGTACTCCTTCCTAGGCAGTAATTTCCCATTTTGTATGCGTGCAACTGGTTGTTCCTTCCTAAGTGGAGTATTTACTTCAGATCATTTTGAATTTTAGTCCTATCCTCCTAAGCACTTGCAACCCCTCTCAGCTTGGCATCATCCACAAACTTTATAAGTGTACTCTCTATACCATTATCTAAATCTCTGATGAGGATATTGAACAGAACCGGACCAGAACTGATCCCTGCGGGATCCCACTCATTATGCAGTTCCAGCATAACTGTGAACCACTGATAACTACTCTCTGAGAACAGTTTTCTAACCAGTTATGAAGCCACCTTGTAGTAGCTCCATCTAGGTTGTATTTCCTAGCTTATGAGAAGGTCATGCGAGACAGTATCAAAAGCCTTACTAAAGTGAAGATATACCACATTTACTGCTTGCCCCCATCCACAAGGCTTGTTCCCTGGTCAAAGAAAGCTATCAGGTTGGTTGGACACGATTTGTTCTTGACAAATCCATGATGACTGTTACTTATCACCTTATCTTCTAGATGTTTGCAAACTGATGGCTTAATTATTTGCTCCATTATCTTTCTAGGTACTGAAGTTAAGCTGACTGGTGTGTAATTCGCCAGGTTGTACTCATTGCCATTTTTATAGATGGGCACTATATTTGCCCTTTTCCAGTCCTCTGGAATTTCTCCCGTCTTCCATGACTTTTTGAAGAGAATTGCTAATGGCTCAGATATCTCCTCAGTCAGCTCCTTGAGTATTTTAGCACGTATTTCATCAAGCCCTGGCGACTTGAAAACATCTTATTTGTTTAAGTAATTTTTAACTTGTTCTTTCCCTATTTTAGCCTCTGATCCTACCTCATTTTCACTGGCATTCACTGTGTTAGATGTCCAATCACCACCAACCTTCTTGGTGAAAACCGAAACAAAAATATCATTTAGAACTTCTGCCATTTCCACATTTTCTATTATTGTTTTCTCCCCCTCATTGAGAAATGGGCCTACAGCGTCCTTGGTTGTCTTCTTGCTTCTAATGTATTTGTAGAATATTTTCTTGTTTTATGTCTCTAGCTAGTTTGATCTCGTTTTGTGCCTTGGTCTTTCTAATTTTGTCCCTACATACTTGTGTTATTTGTTTATATTCATCCTTTGTAATTTGACTTAGGTTCCCCTTTTTGTAAGATTTTTTTTTTTTTTTTTTTTGAGTTTCAGATCATTGAAGATCTCCTGGTTAAGCCAGGGTGGTCTCTTGCCATACTTCCTATCTTTCCTACGCGGTGATGCCGTTTGCTTGTTGGCTGTTAATAAGTTCTATTGTAAAATCTGCGAAACCTCTTAAACTCTGT